ACATAAAGTCACCAAAACTCCGTTTTGGCGACTTAACTAGATTTGCCATTGCAAGCAATAGCGGATGTCACCCTTCCCCCTATTGCCACTAAGTGGCAGCCATTTCAAAATTTTTAAACCGGGATTCTCACATATGCATGGCTATACACGTTTCTGTAAATTTTCAGAACATTTAAAGCATTTTTGATCATTTAAAATTTTTGACATTTTTGCAGTTTCCATGGCAACGGTGGCCATTTCGGAAATTCAAAAGTCAAAAGTCTCATCTAGACTTGTCAGTTAAAAATCATATTAAGTTTCATTAAGTTTGGAGCATTTTGTAATTTTTGGAAATTTTTGACATTTTTGCTGGTTTCCATGGTAACAGAGACCATTCCCAAAATTTAATGACAGGTGCTACATTGGTACATGGGAAGGACAAACCATTAAAATTTCAATGGATTTGACATACCATTTTAAGAAAGTAAATGGCACTTTTAGGTGTTTGGATCATTTTGACCTGTTTTGCATTTTTTCCATGGTAACGGCAGACATTTTTGAAATTCCAACGCCAAATTCCACATCTACAAATATTGCTCATCATTACTGTAAAGTTTCATTAAATTATGAGCATTTTGATATTTTTCAAATTTTTGGTGTAGTTTCCATGGCAACATAGTAGTTTCAGTGATTGCCAAAATCATCCAAAACCAGTATATACTTGGCACCTACATTGTATTAAAATATAATTGATTCTAAGTTTATGCATATCCAAATAATCCACCAAACTCTAAAATTTTATTTTTTCACCTTTCTTTGGTTTCCATGGTGGTGGCATCCATTTTTTAGTGCCAAAGTTGCACTACAACTCGTAAGTCAGGGTTCCTTGTTATAGTGAACAACCATTAAGATTGGTGCATTAGGCTCTGAGAAAACTGCAGGACAAAATTAGGTGGAAGAATAATAATAATAAATTAAAAACCAATTGTTCAAAGAACAATTGAAGGTCTTTCCACATCAATTTTCTAAATAATTGATGAGAAGATAATTCTGGTTTACTCAAAGCTACTATTAGCGTCCAATCATAGGTTTCTTCATACTGATTCAATAAATATGGTTTCTATAGACTTTTGCCTGAAATAAGGGAGATAATTGTAAACATGCGGTTTAGAAAATGTCACTTCCGGTCTCATATGATAGCTTTATTTACACTGATTCCAAAAATATATGGTTTATATATACTGTTGCCTGTAAAAAGGGAGATAATTGGCTACTTCCGGTTTAGAAAATGTCACTTCCGGTCTCAAATGATAGATTTATTTACACTGATTCCAAAAATATATGGTTTATATATACTTTTGTCTGTAAAAAGGGAGATAATTGGGTACTTCCGGTTTAGAAAATGTCACTTTCGGTCTCAAATGATAACTTTATTTACACTGATTCCAAAAATATGTGGTTTATATATACTTTTGCCTGTAAAAAGGGAGATAATATGCTACTTCCGGTTTATAAAATATCACTTCCAGTCTCAAATGATAGATTAATGTATGACTATTCAAAAAATATATGGTTTCTATGTACTCTTACATGAAATAAGTGCAAAAATGACTACTTCCGGTTCACTCAATGTCACTTCCGGTTGACATTTTTCAAGGTCATATGTCACCCAACATTTTGCAAAAGATCTTATGGCTTTATCATGTTCTAATATGAAGTAATAATCAATTTACCTTAAAATAAAACATTTCAGGGGCAATAACTAACAATATAACAAACATTTTGCACTTGTTCTTTAATATATAACATTAAAAATATCGGGGGAAATGCAAAAACAAGCAAAAGACAAAATTCAGAACATGACCTTGACCTTTGACCTTGACCTCATTTTCGAAGTTAGGATCCAAGGACCTTAAATAAAAAGATTATAGGTTTATACGGCTTACAGTTTATGAGTAACAAAAACATAACCACAAATTTATTTGATAAAGGTAGATAACTCCTATAAAATTTCATCAAATCGCTTCGATCCAAATTAGCCAAAAATTCCTGAGGATGTAACGAACAATTTGTAAAAAGAATTTTGTCGATATCTTTTTTTGTTACGAAGGAGATACACACAGATGATAAACAGTGAATAGGGAGATAACTCTTACAAAGAAAATGGTTCGGCTTAGCAGTGTGAAATTTAAAAGCGCATAAACTATACGATACAATATGAGAAATATCTAAGCGACATATTGCGAAACAAACATTTATCGCAAGAACAAAATTTGGCGGAAGAAAAAAAAAAAAAATAATAATAATAATAATAATCAGAACAAATACAATAGGTCTTTCCACAGAAAAGTGGAAAGACCTAAAAAAAGAAACGGAGGAAAAGCAATATGTCACCCGACATTATCGATCGGGTGACATAATAATAAAAAAAATAAACGGAGGAAAAGCAATATATCACCCGACATTGTCGATCGGATGACATAATAATAACTAGATTTGTAATTGCTAGCAATAACGGATGGCACCCTTCCCCCATTGCCAGGTGAGCGGCAGCCATTTTGAAAAATCCAAAGTCAAAGAGCGCATATACGGATGTCTATTAACATTGTTGTAAAGTTTCATCAATTTTGGAGCATTTTGAAATTTTTGAAATTTTTGCTATTTCCATGGTAATGGGTACATTTTTCAAAATTCCAAAACAGGTGCCACTTTGAGACATGCCATGTTACATATCCATTCAGTTTTATAAGGTTTGATCTAATATTCTTGCAGAAATTGCAGCTTCAATATGGGTCAATGTTAAACTTTCGGCCTGTTTCCATGACAATGGCGGCCATTTTAGAATTTCCTAATATTGCATGCACATCTAGGGATACCACGCAACATTTCCATAAAGTTTCATCCAGTCGGGTCTTATAATGAAAAATGAATGCCATACCCCGATTGCAAATCTACACATGCTGGTTAACATTATGGTATATTTCCATAACAATTGCTTCATACAATTCCAAGATATAAGCTGGACAAAAATAGTGGAAGAAAAAAAAATAAGAAAAAAAGAAACGTAGAATAACAATATGTCACCCCAACTCCGTTGAGGGTGCCATAACAAGATTTGTAATTGCTAGCAATAACGGATGGCACCCTTCCCTAATTGCCAGGCGAGAGGCAGCTATTTAGAAAATTCCAAATTCAAAGAGTGCATCATCACATGGAAATTATCATTTTTGTATAGTTTGATTAAGTTTGGAGCATTTCGAAATTTTAGACAATTTTGCTGTTTCCATGGTTAACACGGCCATTTTGAAAATTCCAACTTCAAAATGCAACTGTGCTTATGCCAGTTACCATTTCTGTAAAGTTTCATCAAGTTTGCAGCATTTTGATTTTTTTGAAACTTTGGACATTTTTGCTGTATCCATGGTTACAGTGGATAATTCCAAAATTCTAAAAGCAGACATCTCATTGCCACGTGTCATGTTATATATCAATACAGTTTCATTGACTTTGGTCAAATACTCTTTAAGAAAATGCTGATTTTATGCATTTTCCCATAGGGTCAATGTTAAACTTGCCCACAGTTTCCATGACAACGGCAGCCATTTTGGAAATTCCAACACCAGTTACCACTTCTTCACATGCCAGTCAACATTATTGTAAAGTTTCATAAAGTTTGAAGCATTCTGAAAATTTTGAAAATTTTGCTGCTGTATCCATGGTAACATAGCAGTTGTAATGATTGTGAAAATTATCTAAATCCTGTATATAATGGACAACTACATTGTATAAAAATTTGATGATTTCAAGTTATAGCATACCCACATTATTCACCAAACCCTTAAGTTTTTGGAGCATTTTGACCTTTTTGCATTGTTTCCATGGTAACGGCAGACATTTTCGAAATTCCAACGCCAAATTCCACATCTACCACCGTTGCTCATCGTTACTATGAGGTTTTATTAAATTTGAAGCATTTTGATATTTTTGAAATTATTGGAGTAGTTTCCATGGCAACATAGTAGTTCCAATGATTTCATACCAAAACCAGTATATAGTGGGCACCTACATTGTATTAAAATATAATAATTCTAAGTGTAAGCATACCGTAATAATTCACCAAAACCAAAAACTGGATTTTTTCACGTTTGTGTTGTTTCCATGGAAACGGCAGCCATTTTTTACCATTCCATAGCAAGGTGCACAACTGTATATGGGGGTCCTCATTGTAGTAGAGTTCCATCAATATTGGTCCATTGGATTCCAAGAACTCGCGCGGACAAAAATGTGTGGAAGAAAAATAATAAAAAGAAACTAGATTTGCCATTGCAAGCAATAGCGGATGGCACCCTTCCCTCATTGCCAGGCGAGCGGCAGCCATTTAGAAAATTCCAAAGTATAAGAGGGCATCTACATATGCAAATTATAATTTTTGTAAAGTTTCATTAAGTTTGTAGCATTTTGAAATTTTGGACATTTTTGCTGTCTTTGACATCTTACTGCATACTGGGTAACATTTTCATAAAGTTTCATCAAGTTTGGTCTTATTACGAAAGAGCTAGATTTTATTATATTTTAGCTGTTTCCATGGTAACGGCAGCCTTTTTGAAAATTCCGAAGTGAAACTGCAAATCAGTACATGCCAGTTACCATCCCTGTGGAGTTTCTTACAGTTTGGAACACTTTGATTTTTTTCGCATTTTTGCTGTTTCCATGGAAAGTGCACTACTTTACATGAAGGTCCTCATTATAGTAGAGTTCCATCAACATTGGTCCATTGGATTCCAAGAACTCGCGCGGACAAAATGAAGGAAGAAAAATAAGAAAAAAAAGAAACGTAGAATAACAGTATGTCACCCCAACTCCGTTGAGGGTGCCACAAAAAGAAACGTAGAATAACAGTATGTCACCCCAACTCCGTTGAGGGTGCCATAAAAAAAGAAACGTAGAATAACAATATGTCACCCCAACTCCGTTGAGGGTGCCACAAAAAGAAACGTAGAATAACATAATGTCACCCCAACTCCGTTGAGGGTGCCATAACTAGATTTGCCATTGCAAGCAATAGCGGATGGCAACCATCCCACATTGCCACTAAACTTCAACCATTTTGAGAATTTTAAACAGTCAATGCACAAAAATACATCACAACGCATGTCTGTAAATTTTCCTGAAGTTTGGGGCATTTTCAATTTTTCACATTTTTGAAGTTTCCATGGCAACGGCGGCCATTTTGGAAATTCCAAGTTCAAAAGTCCAATCGTTAATTGCCTGTTTACATTTATATTAATTTTCAATAAGTTTGGAGCATTTTGAAATTTTTTGACATTTTTGCTGTTTCCATGGTAACGGTGTCCATTCTGAAATTCTAATAACAGCAGCAACATTGACTTGTGTCATGTTATATAATCATGCTGTTTCATTGTGTTTGATCTTATATTTCTTAAGAAATTGCGGCTTTAATGTTTTTCCCATAGGGTCAGTGTTAAACTTTTCTCCAGATTCCATGGCAATGGCAGCCATTTTGGAATTTCTAAGTACTGTTGGTACCTCAGGGCACCACTGTCAACATTTGCATAAAGTTTGAATAGGTCGGCTCTTATAACGAACGATTTAGAATTTAGATTTTTTTTTACATTTTTTTAGTTTCCATGGTAACCGTGGCCATCTTGCACATTCCAAAGTCAGGTGCACAACTTCACATGGTGGTCAACATTATAGCATAGTTCCATAAAGATTGGTCAATCCAATTCCGGGAACTGCCGTGGACAAAATGTGTGGAAGAATAAAAATAACTAGATTTGCCATTGCAAGCAATAGCGGATGTCACCCTTCCCCCCCATTGCCACTAAGTGGCAGCCATTTCAAAAATTTTAAACCGGGATGCTTATATATGCATGACTTTACATGTTTCTGTAAATTTTCAGAACATTTAGAGCATTTTTGATCATTTAATTTTTTTTACATTTTTGCAGTTTCCATGGCAACGGTAGCCATTTCGGAAATTCCAAAGTCTCATCTAGACTTGCCAGTTAAGAATCATATTAAGTTTCAGTAAATTCGGAGCATTTTGTAATTTTTGGAAATTTTTGACATTTTTGCTGGTTTCCATGGTAACAGAGACCATTCCCAAAATTTAATGACAGGTGCTACATTGGTACATGGGAGGGAACATACCAATAAAATTTCAATGGATTTGACATACCATTTTAAGAAAGTAAATGCCAGTTTTAGGTTTTTGGATCATTTTGACCTGTTTTGCATTGTTTCCATGGTAACGGCAGACATTTTTAAAATTCCAACGCCAAATTCCACATCTACCAATGTTGCTCGTCATTACTGTGAAGTTTCATCAAATTTTGAGCATTTTGATATTTTTGAAATTTTTTGTGTAGTTTCCATGGCAACATAGTAGTTCCGATGATTGCCAAAATCATCCAAAACCAGTATATAGTGGGCACCTACATTCTATAAAATTATCATGATTCTAAGTTTATGCATATCCAAATAATCCACCAAACTCTAAAATTTTATTTTTTCACCTTTTTTTGGTTTCCATGGTGATGGCATCCATTTTTTAGTGCCAAAGTTGCACTGCAACTCGTAAGTCAGGGTTCCTTGTTATAGTGAACAACCATAAAGATTGGTGGATTAGGCTCTGAGAAAACTGAAGGACAAAATTAGGTGGAATAATAATAATAATAATAATAATAATAAAAAGAAACGGAGGAAAAGCAATATGTCACCCGACATTGTCGATCGTGAAAATTCCAACAGCAGTTTCAACATTGACTATTATGCTATGTTATATATTCATGAAATTTGTTTCAGTTTGATCTTATATTCCTTAAGAAAATGCTGCTTTGATGTTTTTTCCCATAGGATCAATGTTAAACTTTTCTCAAGTTTCCATGGCAATGGCAGCCATTTTGAAAATTCCAAGTACTGTTGGTACCTCAGGGCACCACTACCAACATTTACATACACTTTCAAGAGGTTGTCTGTTATAACGAAAGATTTAGAATTTGAATATTTTTTTTCATTTTTGCAGTTTCCATAGTAACGACGGCCATTTTGAACCATTCCAATCTCTCTTGCACAACTTCACATGGTGGTTCATATTATGGTATAGTTCCATCAACATGGGTCTGACCAATCTCGAGAAATAGCATGGACAAAATGTGTGGAAGAATAAAAATATGATGAAAAAAAAGAAACGAATAATAACAGTATGTCACCCCAACTCCGTTGAGGGTGCCATAATAACTAGATTTGCCATTGCAAGCAATAGCGGATGGCACCCATCCCACATTGCCAATAAACTGCAGCCATTTTGAAATTTTTAAACAGTCATTTTACATAAATACACCATCACACATCAGTCTGTAAATTTTCAGAACGTTTGGAGCATTTTTCAATATTTCTTATTTTACAGTTTCCATGGCAACTGCGGCCATTTTGGAAATTCCAAGTTCAAACATCTCATCTTTACTTACCAATCAACACTTATTTTAAGTTTGATTAAGTTTGGAGCATTTTGAAATTTTTGGACATTTTTGCTGTTTTCATGGTTATGGTGTCCATTTCGAAAATTCCAACAACGGCTGCAACATTGACTTATGCCATGTTATATATTCATGAAGTTTCATTGTGTTTGATCGAATATTATTCAAGAAAATGCTGCTTTAATGTTTTTCCCAATAGGGTCAATGTTAAACTTTTCTCCTGTTTCCATGGCAATGGCAGCCATTTTGGAATTTCTAAGTACTGATGGTACCTCAAGGCACCACTGGCAACATTTACATAAAGTTTCAATAAGATGGCTCTTATAACAAAAGATTTAGAAATTTGATTTATTTTTACATTTTTGCTGTTTGCATGGTAACGGCGGCCATTTTGAACCATTATGATGTCTCTTGCACAACTTCACATAGTGGTCCACATTATGATATAGTTCCATCAACTTTGGTCCATTCAATTCCGAGAAATAGCTCGGACAAAAAGTGTGGAAGAATAAAAATAATAATAACAAGTAATCCTGTGTTAGGATGCTAACACAAAAGTCGCCAAAACGGCCCCCAACCATTGTTCTGCTGTTTCCATGGTAACGGCAGCCATTTTGAAATTTCAAAGTCGGATATCACATCTACACGTGACAGGTCACATTACTTACAAGTTTCATAATAATTGGACCAATTTTCAAATTTAGGCATTCGTGTTTCCATGGTTACGGTGGCCATTTTGGAAATTCCAAAGTCAAATGCCACATCTACATAAGACAGTCAACATTTGTGTAAAGTTTCATTAAGTCTGAAGCATTTAAAAATTTTCGACATTTTTGCAGTTTCCATGGTAACGGCAGCCATTTTGAAAATTCCAAAGTCGGATGGCACATCTACACATGACAGGTCACATTACTGTCAAGTTTTATAAAGATTGGACCAAATCTAGATTTTTCGCATTTTTGTTGTTTCCATGGCAACGGCGGCCATTTGCGAAATTCAAAAGTCAAATTCCAAATCTACATATACTCGTTAACATCTCTGTAAAATTTCATTAAATTTGAATCATTTTAAAAAATGTTCACATTTTTGCAGTTTCCATGGTAACGGCGGCCATTTTAAAAATTCCAAAGTCGAATTACAGCTACATATGGTGCTACCTGTAATAATCTATCATCATATAACATATAAAGTACATAGGAATAATTCAACATTTTCACATGACAAATCACATGACTATTGTTCTAGAATGTTCCATAAAAATTGACCCCCTAAAATAATGCAAAGATGACCCCGGGCTGAAATAAAAAATGTGGAATGGACACCTGGACATCGGTCTCTTGTATTACACAAAACTTAAAGGTTCTACCAGTAGCGAATCAATAGTCGAAAAATGACCCTACCCATGTTCCGACCCCCTAAAAGTGCCAAGTTGACCCCCATTTGAAATAAAAAATGGCGAATGCATCCCTAGGGATACTACCCCAACATCATACCAAATATAAAGTTTCCATCATTTAAGGCTTGGAAGAAAATGGTCGGACAAATTAGGGTTAAGAATAATAATAATAATAATAAGAAACGGGACAAAAACATAAAGTCCCCAAAACTCCGTTTTGGCGACTTAACTTGATTTGCCATTGCAAGCAATAGCGGATGGCACCCTTCCCCAATTGCCAGGCGAGCGGCAGCGATTTAGAAAATTCCAAAGTCAAAGAGGGCATCTACACATGCAAATTATCATTTTTGTAAAGTTTCATGAAGTTTGGAGCATTTTGAAATTTTTGACATTTTTGATGTTTCCATGGTTACAGCGGCCATTTTGAAAATTCCAACTGCAAAATGCAACTCTGCCTATGCCAGTTACCATTTCTGTAAAGTTTCATCCAGTTTGCAGCATTTTTATTTTTTTTTAAAATTTGGATATTTTTGCTGTTTCCATGGTAACAGCGAATAATTCCAAAATTCTAAAAGCAAACATCTCATTGCCACATGTCATGTTATATGTCAATACAGTTTCGCTGACTTTGGTGAAATACTCTTTAAGAAAATGCTGATTTTATGCATTTTCCCATAGGGTCAATGTAAAACTTGCTCCATGTTTCCATGACAACGGCGGCCATATTGGACTACCCAAATATTGTCTTGACATCTTAGCATACTGGGTAACATTTTCATAAAGTTTCATCCAGTTAGGTCATATAACGAAAGAGTTAGAATTTTTGATATTTTAGCTGTTTCCATGGTAACGGCAGCCATTTTAAAAATTCCGAAGTCAAGCTGCAAATCAGCACATGCCAGTTAACATTCCTGTGGAGTTTCTTCCAATTTGGAACACTTTGATTTTTTTCGCATTTTTGCTGTTTCCATGGAAACGGCGGCCATTTTTTACCATTCCATAGCAAGGTGCACAACTTTATATGGGGGTCCTCATTATAGTGGAGTTCCATCAACATTGGTCCATTGGATTCCAAGAACTCGCGCGGACAAAATGTGTGGAAGAAAAATAAGAAAAAAAAGAAACGTAGAATAACAGTATGTCACCCCAACTCCGTTGAGGGTGCCATAATAATAAAAAGAAAAAAAAAGAAACGTAGAATAACAA